TGTAGAGCAGTCTCCCAATGGATTTGACATGGAGCATGAACAAACTGGCTCAATTGTTGAACTCCATAGGTAATATCAGGCCTGGTTAAGTTCAAATAAAGAATGCTGCCAATTAATCTCCTATACTTTACAGGATCAGATAATGATGAACCATGTAATGTCGTTAACTTAGTGCCCTTTGGTATAGGAACAGGAGCTGATTTGGCTCCAATTAATCATGTATCTTGAATGAGATCAATGATATATTTTCTCTGATTGATATACATGCCATCTGTATTCCGTGCAATTTCCAATCCTAAGAAGTATTTTGCATAGCCTAGGTCTTTGATAGTGAATTCTTGGTGTAAGAAGTTCTTTGTATCAATAATATCCTCTTCATCCGAACTTGTGATGAGTACATCATCAACATATACTAAGAGAAAAAGAGCTTTCAGGGAGGAATGTTTGGTAAATAAACAATGGTCATGAGCTGACTAAAGAAAGCCATAACTCTGAATCTTAAGACATAATTCCGTATTCCATTGCCGTGAAGCTTGCTTTAAACCATATAAACTCTTAAGCTTACAAACCTGTCCTGGTAACGCCTTGCTATGACCCTCAGGTGACTTCATATAGACCTCCTCATCTAAGAAACCATGAAGGAAAGTGTTGTTAATATCCAGTTGATGAATAGGCCATCCCTTTCCAGCCACAATTGGTAAAAAAATTCTAACCGTGACAAGTTTAGCTACAGTTGAAAAGCTGTCAAAATAATCAACCCCTTGTAATTGATGGTACCCTTTGCAACAAGCCTTACTTTGTATCGATCCACTGTACCATCTGCACAAAACTTTACTTTGTATACCCACCTTGAACCAATAGCCTGCTTGTTAGGCGGGAGATTGACTAATTCCCAAGTTTGGTTAGTTTCCAGTACATCAAGCTCTTGTTGCGTAGCTTTGGTCCATTCTTCACTTTTGTTGGCTTGGTTATATGAATCAGGTTCCTAACCAGTTGATATACTTGCCAGAAATGTACAATATGATGGTTTAAGTTCTGGAAAAACAATACAGGGAAAGGTAGGTAGGTATACCTGGTGTGAGGTGAAAGGAACCTTTTGCAGGATGAGGCGGCATCAGCAGTTGGCAATTCTTGTGTGGCAGTAACATGGGTGACATAGTCTTGTAACCAATATGGTTGCGTTTTAGTTCTAGTACTGTGTCTAATGACAGGAATAGGCAATTCAGGATGAGAAGAAGGCTCAGAACATATTTCAGATGTGGACTGACTTTCTGGGAAAGGAACCTGAATGTGAGGAACGGAATCTAAGGTGATATCAGGGTCAAATGGGGTGTCTTGTTGTGTTTCAGTAGGAGGTAAAATAGGAAGTGGATCTGCTACAACATCATTTTGCAAGCTTGCCGCATCCTGATCATTATCAAACCTTTGAAATAGACGTAAAGAAGGACGGGGAGTCTGATTTTGATCAAGCTTAAAGGGAAATATTGACTTAAAAAATTTTATATCCCTAGAAGTGTGTATTTGTTTAGTGTCAATGTCAAACACCTTAAACCCCTTTTGGCCAGGATTGTATCCAAGGAAAATACACTTGTAAGATCTTGATTCAAACTTGGTTTTATGTGGCTTGGTATTTATAATGTAGCACAAAGAACCAAAGGTCTTAAATAAGGAGTAATCTGGTTTGTGTGCAAATAGTTTCTCAAAAGGAGTCTTCCACTTTAGGACTTGGGTAGGAAGTCTGTTTATTATGAATGTGGCCATCAACAGGGAATATGTCCAGAATTTTTTTGGCAAACAAGCTTGGAACATTAAAGATCTAGCAATTTGAAGTAGATGTTTGTGTTTTCGTTTTACCACCCCATTTTGCTGAGGTATGTAGACACAGGTTCTTTGATGAATGATACCAAACATTTGGAAAATATTCTGACATTCATGACTAACAAATTCAGTCCTATTGTCGATTCTTATGCATTTAACCCTTTTATTGAACTGAGTTTCTACCATTCTAAAGAAATTGTCTAAGGTTTTTGCAACTTGTGTCTTATGCACAAGCAAGAAAGTCTAGGTGGATAGACTATAATCATCAACAATAGTAAGCATATAAGGAGTAGAAGTGAGTGAAATTTGTCTATAGGGCCCCCAAAGGTCAACATGAATGAGATAAAAAATGGGTTTGGTATGAATTGTGCTGGTAGGAAATGGACTTCTTTTCTGTTTAGCTTTATGACATATCTCACAATGTTTAAGAAAATCAGATTTCTCTTGGATGTGCTTGAGGAAATCTATGTATTGCATTGTATGATATGATACATGCCCAAGTCTATTATACCACTCAAGAAATTGATCAATGGTTGAGGAATCATAAACTTTGTTGATATCAAATATTTGATCACAAGAAGTAATACATGTAGGAAATTTGGATTGATCTATCAGTTTACCTCTATTTCTATCTCTATGGGAAATGAAACTAGACTCATCTAACAAGTATAACTTCCCTACAAGCTTGCCAACTGCCAATACCTTTTCATTCTGCAAGTCCTACAGTAAACAAAAATCAGGGTAGAAAGTTAATTTCAGTCTTGATGTTTGGGTGATCTTTGGTACTGACAGAAGGTTAAATTTGAAACTGGAAACATATAAGGTGTCTGTTAGATGCAATTTCGGGTACAATGCAACATTTCCAGTGTGTCTAACTAATTTATTTGTTCCATCAGGTAGACATATAAAAGTAAGATGTGTAACATGAGTTAGTTTAGTCATTAAATTCAAGTCTGTGCAAATGTAATTGCTGGCTCATGTATCAATGATCCAAGTTCCTGGTTTCACATGATCGAATACAGCTAAAAGTGAATAATCTGAACTCATACCTACATATTCTCTAATGTGAGCAAAGTTCACCTTATTCTCAACCTCCAACAGCTTCTCGCCTCTCAAAGCTTTCAGCACTTCCTGTGTAACCAAATTGGCTAAGTCAGTGGATGCTGTCATATCCATTTTCCTATTCTGATTGTCTTAATCATTCTTAAGATCCAGAGGTATGTTAATCATATTTGCTGTAAATTGTCCTCTCCAAAATTTTTTGGCCTATGTTCCTTTGGCATTTTGTACCAATCTGGATATCCTATCAACTTGAAGCAACCATCTCTTGTATGACCTTTCATATTGCAGTGATCACAGTGGTATAACTCCTCATTTCCAAATTTCCTATTATTTCCTCTACTTGTTCCATACCTCACAGCATTTCTGTTAAAACCACCTCTACCTCCACTATCTCTCCTATAATCTATAGATTTAACTAACAGAGCTGCATTATCATTTGAATCAGGGAAAATGCTGTGTACCTCTATATGTTTTTCAATTCTTAGCACCATGGAATATGCTTTATTGGTAGAGGGAAGTGGATCCATCACCAACACTTGATTCCTAATGTGATCAAATGTATCATTTAATCCCATTAGAAACTGCATCAACTGATTAGAAGCAGTCAGATCTGAGATCTCCTTTGATGCTGGACAGGTGCAGTAGGTTTTGGCATGAGACATGTTAACTCATCCCAAAGTTTTTTTAGTTTGGTCTAATATTTTTCAACTGTCAGAACTCCTTGTGAAATGCTACTGGTTTCTCTTTGTATCTGATATAGCATTAGGCCATTGCATTCACCATATCTCTCTTTCAATTCTAACCATAAATCCTTTGCTGATTTGGTATAGATGATAGCTTCCACAATATCTTTAGCGATGGAATTCAACAACCATGACCTAACCATAAATCAACCCGGATCCACTGTTCGATTTTGGATGTATTCTCTGTAGGTTTATCACACTTGCCATCAATGAAGCCCAATTACATCTTAGCTCCTAATGCTATAATGATAGATCTACTCCAACTAAGGTAGTTTTTTCCTGTCAATACCGAGGTAACTAACATCATACCCGGATGATCTGAATTTTGAAGATCTAATGGATCTCTATTCGAATACTCCTTTTCTGCTGCTTCATTCTCAGTGTCCAATCCAGACCCATTTTGTGTCATTCCTTCTTCAGCTGATCAATTAGTTTTTCCAAATAATCATTTCTGAATTCCTTATCGGCTCTGATACCATGAACAAATTTAAGCTGAAGAGTATTTTGTAGGAACAATTTTATTTAATCATCCAAAATCAATTACTAAATGAGAGCACTTGCTGTATATATAGACATAGAAAAAAGCCTATTGTCCAATAGCAAGCTGACAGCTCAACATAGTGAGAAACGGCACTAACAGAAAATGAAAAGGGAGAAAACGTAATATGCTAAAATACGACTAATGACTAACGGCTTTATTCCAATGGACTGGAGATAGGCTAGCTGGATCCTTCATTCTTTCAATCTTCTTTCTTAAACTCCCAACAAAACAGAGTATTTTACTTGGCCAGAAAAACAGAACATGATAGTAGCAATCCCGGTGAGCATGTAAGCATATACGGTAACTTCAGTGTGAATCCGGTAAGCACTCTGTTTTACACTAAAACAGAATTTCCTTTGGTAAATCCGGTAAGTGCTTTGCATATACGGTAAGCCAAGTGTATATCCGGTAAGTTGAGTGAATATACGGTGAGTTGAACTAAACGGTTAGGAGTGTTAAATCCAGTTAGATTATTTTAAATCCG